TTAGGTAAGTAGCACAATGCACGCAATAAGATATAAAATATATAAAATAAAATGAAATTATTGTTATTTAATAATTTTTAAAAAATAATATTAATAAAATTTTAATAATTATATAAATATATATTATAAATAATAATTTAAATAAACTTTTTATATATTTAAAATCAAAAAAGTATTAACATATAAAAAAATTAATTTCTCAAAAAACAAAAAAAATATAATAATTCAAATTTTTAAGGTTAATTATAATTAATTCATTATAAATAATTTAACTTTTTATATTTTTTTTATTTTATTTAAATTGATTGAGAAAACTATCTAACAATCATTTATAGCTTTAGAATCAGTAAGTTCAATATTCATTCTTCATAAAAGTAAATCTATTGGGAACTAAGCAAATTTAAATCTGATTTAATATAAATATAAGATTCCAGCATAAGTGTTATCATGATTACGATATATAATTTATAATTTATATATGATTTTTTTTTTCATTTATTTTATTATACTATATCAAGAACATAATGCATTTAATTTCATAATTTTTAGCTAATTTACGATTAATCAAATACATGTTATCGATTTTTTAAGTGAAGGAATTTTTATATTATTATATTTAAGGGAAATTATATTATTCCATTTATTTTCTTCTCCAAGAAGCATCAAATGTTTATAAGATTTTATAATAATATCTTCTTTATATTTTTTAAAAAAATGGTAAATAAAATAAAAATAAACTTTATAAATCATTATCGATTTATTTTTAACATTATTATTTTTTGTATATTTTTTACAACAATTCGCTTTTATTACTTTTAAAAGATTTTCATTTTTTATTTTTGCTAACTTTAATGTTAAAAATTAAATTCTTATTACATAGCTGCTGGGTTTAATATATGGATAATTAAAGATAATTCAGTAGTTCACAAAAGTAATTTACTTTTATAAGTAATTTCAAAAATAAGAGCAATATATAAAAATTTGGCACAACTAAAGCATTTTTAGTCTTCACATACAAATCAAGCTTCAATTAATATAATCCTTTTTTTAACATCAAGATTATCGATTCTTCCAATATGATTTGCTAAAGGAGCTGTGCTGTGTTAATTTTATGAAAATAGATTATAAAATTAAAGCTGGCTAAAGGGAAATTGTGAAAGCCATCTCTTCTGAGTTCTATATTAATTTAAATTAGCAGGTACAAATCCTTCATTATGATTATACAATTTCGCTGATATTTAAAGATCGATTTTCATTCTAGCATAATTAGATTTTTATTTATTTATTTATAATAAATAGGTCCTCTAAAAGAACTAAGATTAAAAGCTAATCGGAGTAATAAAATATGGTTTTTTATTAAAAGTATATGGGTTATACCTATTAAATTATTATATTTAAAAGTAATGATAATAATATGGCCAAAATAAATACATATATTTTGCAGGGAATATCTAGTCTATTTGTTAATTCATAAAATATGCTTTTTATAGAAAATAATTCCTTTCTACTACACTCTTTTTCACTACTTAATACTTATATACACGCTATTTTATCAAATGCGAAAAATAAAATAATTACCTTAATTATTTAATTCCTCAGTCTATTACGATTTAGTTGATTTAAGCTTATTCCGTTTGCCATGTTTCCTTATTTTAATAATAAATATTTAAGTTCTCGATTTGCTACTTCTAATAATATTCCTCTATCTGTGAGTTCTCCTCACATTATTATTGAATCATATTAGTTGTTTTTAAGACCCCTTATTACAGATGCAAATTTGATGATTTTAATATTGGAATCAGTTATTAATTATGGAAAATTTAATATAGGTTTTACTCTTTGTGAATTTATGGTTTAGAGTTTACTTTATAAGAGCCATATAAAATTGCTAAAAATAATGGTATTGATATACGTTTATATGAAAAGGATTTTTCCGAATATTTTTTTGGGCATTATATAATTTTTAAATTAAAATTTATAGTTTATAAATTTTTATATAATCTAATATAATTTTGCTTAAATTATTTTTATTTTTTTGCAAATAATATAATATTTATCTTTATATATTTATTTTTGATATTTAAAAGGTATTAATATATTATATTACATTCTAAAATAAAAATATTATAATTATATTTTCTAGTTTTTTAAAATCCTATTTAATTGAATTAAAGTAGAAATAGCCAAGAAAACATAACTAATTATTTATTAATTTGATTTATATTTAAATTTATAAAAAAATATATAAATTTATTAAGTATATAAAAGAAAAAATATTTTTAATTAAAATACAAAATAATATAATTTATAAAAAATACTAATTTCCAATAAACCATACTTTATTTTTTTCTTAAAATTTCATCAACTTATTTTCTTTCACTATTTTCTCTTCTACTTTAGTCTTAAAAATTTCACGATATTTTATTCTTTTTAAACATTGAAATTACACTAGGGTATTACTTATTTGTTTATTCATCAATACTTTTATATCTTTCCAAATTTATATACATTAAAGAATAAATTTTTATTTATAAAATAAAAGGAACAGCATATATTTAATATTAAAGTAGTTATTGAATGTGAAAATATATTTTTTCTAAATCTTTTTTTGCCTATGCTTCTATATTTATATTAAAAAAACTATTAATTTTAATAAGCATCTTGATCTTTCCATATATTGAAATAGTAAAGAAGGAGTTAAGCTTGTACTAATCTTTTTATTTTATATTTTTTTTATACTTCTATTTATGAAATTTTAATTTTATTTAACATTATATTGATATTAATTAAATCCAATTAATAAAATCAAATTTAAAAATTGAAATACTATCTTTTTTTTTAAAAAAAAAAAATTCAATACGTTTTTAATTTTTTATATATAAAATCAATTATAGACTTAGACTTAATTATTTTATTCCATATTTTTTAAATTAAAGCTATTTTTAATTTTCATTTTTCAAAAATAAATATGAAATAGTTAGTTTACTTTTTTAAAATATAAATATATTAATGATAAATTAACATTAAAATTTATTTTAAAATTAAATTTTTATATATGTAACAAATATTAAATTTTTAAAAATATAAATAGCAATTAACAAATAAAAAAAATTAAATATTAGTTTTTAAAATATTTAGTAAAATTAATTGATATAATATTTTATTTTTTTATTTAAAGAATCAATCTTTCTTATCATACAAATTTTATTCTTAATTATTAATAATGTTATAATTAATATTTCTATTTTCTTTAACTTTTTTTTTGCGCCTGTAAACTCGATCCCAATAACTTAAGGTTAAACATAGCAATTATTTTTCTATTCTTTTTTTAAATTACTACATCTAATTTACAATTTATTACTAGTTTTTGAATTGGGTGAGCTTTAACCTTTTAAACAAGGCATAATACTATTTCTTAGATGATGAGCTGTACTATAATTTTAATTATCTTTTTTCTCTGAATTATTTACATTTTTGCTTTGGTTTTAACTTAAATATGTACTATCATCTGTATCTATAATATTTATTGAATTCTTTAGTTTTTAAAATTTTGTTCCTATTATGTTTAAATCTTAAAAGGATTTTCTAGTAGTAAAATTTGGACTTTCTGATTATTAGAAATCTTCTTTATTTATTTTTAAATAAAAAATAATATACTATATATTTTATACAGTTATTTATTTATTTTTAAATATTTTCTTAAAAAGATTCAAAAAAAACGCTTTTGTTTTCATTTTCTTTTTCTTTTTCTTGTTTTATTATTATTTAAGCATTTTAATTACATTTCAAATTTTTAAACTCGAAGTTTTATTTTTTAAAAGTACTTTTAATTAAATTTTATAAAAAATTATTTTTTAAAAAACCTTTAAAGATTGTCAAAATTAATTTTTTAAAAAGTAATTTAATTTTTTATTTCTGGTTATTTTTAATTTATTTATTTAATTAATTCTAAAAAAACTTTTAAAACAGCTTTAAAAGCTTCCAAATATTACTTTTCTTCCAATAATTATTAAAAATATTCAATGTTTCCGAACTATGTTTATAGAATTTCAGTAAGCTTCTCTGATTATTTGACTTATTAAATGAAAAAAAACCTAATTTAAATATTTAACTATCAAAATTTTCATACTATTATGAAAAAGAACTCAAACTACTACTATCACTACTACTATCACTATTATAAGAATCTTTATTCTTTGAATTTTTCAGTTTTAATTTTTTCTTTTTAATTGTAAATGTAAATATTAAAATAAAAAAATATTTAATTCGCTTACGTTTAATGTATTTATTTTTTTCTTCATTTTGCTAATTTATTAAACGATATAATTATTTTATTATTATTTTGTAGTTTCTGCTTATTATAATTAAATTTTATGATTTTCATTTTCAGCATTTATTTTATTCAATTTTTACTACAAATCAATAAAATTAGTTTATAAATATTAATTTTAACAAAATTTAGGACTATATTAGAATGAATGATAATCTTATTAATAATTTATCTGAAATTTATTTTTATTTATATAATATATATATATATATATTTATTAACATTTTAACCTGGCTGTTTAATATAGGAATTTTAAAAATAATATTGATTTTACGAATTTTTCTATATTTATTTTATATATACGTTAAAAATGTTGTTTATATTTACATTTTAATTAATGCTTCTATTATTATTCATATTTGTGTGTTAGGATTATGATTTCATATTTTATTATTATATTTAAATATTTTTTTTAATTTTATTCTAAAAATTTAATATAAAAAATAATTAAATAAAATTAAGTTTAAAATTGATAAAATTAATAATTATATAAATATTTACTATATTTCTAAAATTAAATATTAATTAATATTTTATAAAAATAATAAAATATTTTCCTCTTTTAAATTAATTTTAATATATATTTTTTTTAAAATAAAAAAATTATAATAATTTTATAAAACTTAAAAAAAAATATGTCTGATTCTGCAGAATTATAAACATAAGCTGCCAATTACTTTTATAATTTATGTTTTTAAAAATTAAATTTACCATAACCAAATGCATAATTATAAAATAGATGTTTAGAAAATATGATGCAAATATATAACAAACTTTCTCCGCATGTGATTAAATTAGAATCAAAACATTAAAAAGAAAAAGAAGAACCTTCAAATGAAGAAGATATTGAATCTTAAGAAAAAAACGAAGAAGATGAATGATTAAAAAAATCTTTTATGAAATAAATATATAATTGATGATAACTTAATTATTTATTTTAGTAATTTTATAAATAAAAAATAATAAAGAAAATATATAAAAACAAAAAAATTAAGCAATATTAAAAAAGAAAAAATTAAATTAATAAATCTTTTATTTTTGTTTTAGTTAATTTAATTTTATTATAAAAAAATATAATAGTAATATACAAAAACAAATAAATAAATATAAATAATAAAATTTTTATTTACATTAAAAAAAAATGAAATATTATTTAAACTAATTAAAATAAAAGTAAATTTATAAATTATCTAAAAATAAAATATAATATATTTTATACATTATATATTAAAATAAAAATAAATATAAAAGTAATTTTTTTAATTAAATAAATAAAAAATATAATAAAAAGTATATATAAATATATAAATATGTAAATAAATATATAGTATTATTATACTTAAAAAAAATAACTAAAATTTATAATATATATATCCTAAATATTTTATTTTTTAAATATAATATATTATAATTTTAAGCATGATATATTTATTTAATTAATATTAATTAATATAAATAAATATAATTATAAATGATTTCAATTTTTTCTTTTTTATTTAAAATAAATGCATTCTGTGATAAATTTTCAGACAGAACCTAAGGTTTACCAATAAATTCAAAAATAGATTATCTTTATTTTTAGCTTTCTAATTCCAATTATGGTGAATTAACTTTATTGCTTTTGAAACTATTTCCTAATGCAATAAACATTTATGATTATTTTTATAGCCTTTTAAAAGAAGCTTTTTATTTGTTATTATTTTTTTTAAAATATTATCTTCTATTTTATATATATTTTTTGTTTTTGCAAACTATTTAATAATTATTATGAGGAAAATAATTTTAGAATTCTTTAAGCTAATCAAAATCATAAATAAAGAATTATTATTTTTTCATATAAATATCACCTAATAAAATACTCAACTTTTTTCTACCAAAGTTATTATTATTTATAATATTTTCATCATCAAGTTATTATTATTACTATGTTTACTATTATTACTTATTATTTCCCAAACTTTCTGTTCTATTAATTAATTATAAATTTTTTTTTACTGAGCAATTCGATTATCTTGGATTTTTTGTTTAGTATTAAGCTTCTTAATTGCTTTCATTATATTACATCGAATATTTTTTATTCAATAAATTCATAAAATTAATATTTGTATTTCTGAAAATCTATAGAGATGAATAAGGTTTACTTTCCTGGCTTGAAACAGACTATTTTTCGACTTTCATTTAACATTCTGAATAAGATTTTTTTCTTTCTTTATTAACATTATTTTCAAGTTTTACATTAATATCAAGGTTTGTATTATTTTCAAGATGTATGTTATTTTAAAGATTTGTTTTTAAAGACTTTTATATTTATATTTTACTATCATCATTAGCAAAAACCAAATTTTAATTTTTTGAATAATCATAACTTTTTATTTTGAAAATATTCTTTTTTTATTTTTAAGTTTTTATATCAGTAATTTAAAAATCAAAAGCAATTTCATTGAAAATTTTTATTTCGCTAGTTTTAAGATTCGCCGTCTCTTCATAAATTTTACTACATAAAGTATTATTGTTATTGTTGTTATATTTGTTATTATTATTGTTATATTTGCTATTATTGTTATTATTTATATTATTTTTATTATTGTTATTGTCTATATTATTTTTATTATTGTTATTGTCTATATTATTATTATTATTTATATTATTTTTATTATTGTTATTGTCTATATTATTGTTATTATTTTCTTCTTCAAATTCTTCAGAATCCTCTAAAGAGTCTTCGATTATTTCCTCATCGTCATCATCATAAATTAGAGAAACCTCGTATGTTTTGGGCATTAAAACGATTTTTGGTCCATTTAAAAAATACTTTTTATCACTACTTTCGTTTAAAAAGTAAATTTCTTCATCTTTTTCAATCATTTAATATTAGTGTTCAAATTCTTTTTATTTTTATTTACTTTAAGTCATTTTTATTTCATATTAATTGATGTAAAACTGTCTTATTTATATTAATCCGTATTTTACCTTTTTTTTTTAAGCAAGTGTATTTATCATTAAATTCTTTTTTTTTCTCAAAAAAGTTTATCTTTCATTTGGGATGCTATATAAATGTTTATAAATCACATTTTATTAATGCTAGACTAAGTGAATATAAGGACAATTAGATATAGAATGCCTAAATTTATTACAAGCTGTGCATCTTGTATTCATTAGTTCCCCATAAAATATTATTTCATCCTTTATTTGACAGAATTTTTCCTTTTTTAAATATAATATTATGGATAAAATAAAGTATTTTTTTTACATAATCTTTTGGAAATTATTTTATTAAATTTATAAAATCTTGTTAATTACAATAAATTAAATGAGATACTTAACTGCAAACTGCTGTTTTATCCCTTTATATCCCTGAAAAAAAGTTTTGTTCACCAAATATTTCTTATTTCTATTTTTATATTTTTTATTTAAAATAATATGAGTAATAAAGAAAATATACATTAACAACATCACATTAATATCTAGTACTATCTTGTTTTTCCACAAAAAGTTAAACCTAACCTTTATAAACATAAAAAATTCTATTATCAATTTCTCCACTAGAAAACACTAGTTCACCTTATCTATAAAAGGCCTCCTTCATTTCTTATTATAATTATTTAAGGAATTCTATTGAGAAATTAAACTTAAAAATCTTCGAGTTTTCAAGAATTTTTCCATAAAAATCTGAAGAAATATCGTTTCTTAATTACAAAGGCACTTTTTATAAAATATCATTTCCACTTTCAGGTAAATCTTATTATTTTTGATTAAGATTATCCAAGAACTTAATAACTCTACTTTAAAGTTTTTTATTAATCCCCCTTTTTCTCATATACATCGAAACTACATATTTTTCATGTTTATGTGAGGCTTCTCTTTAAGCCTTTTCTTAAAAAATAGTTCCTATAGTATTTACGATATAAGCAAATATACAAGAGCTAATCAAAGTCATAAAAAAAACATATATTTTTTCTAAAATACTATTCGGTTTTACATCCCCGTACCCTACAGTAGTCATTGTAATAATCGAAAAATACATTGCATTTATGTATTTTACAACCCAAATTTCTTTTTCAATATTTAAAATATAAATCCAGCTTTTATCATATTCTAAATTATACTTTATGATTCCTAAATTTATATCTGTTTTTTCCGAAAGTATAGCCATATAATGAAATCCGCAAGCACATAAATTACAAACAAAAAATATAAACCCAAAAAGGCTCAAAAGTGTATATATAGTAGGTATTCTTTATTGAAATTAAAAATATTCTTCTATTTCTTATATTTATATTCCTAATTTCTTGTATCGCAGAATTATTAAAAGTAAGCTTGTAAAAGTATTAGCAAAGAATATTCCCAATAATGCAAAAAGATCAATAAAAAAACATTCTCGCAAATATTTCTTTGTTATTCTTATTCTTTAAGAATTTATTTAATCCTAATCATAAAACGCAGTATTAAATCCAATAAAAATTTCGAAAATTCCAAAACACAAAGGAATAATATATAGAATCGACAAATAATATAATTCGAATTAAAAAATATCCAAATTAAAGCTTGATTTTATAGGAATATAAAATAATTAACAAGCATTAAAGAAAAAGAAAAGCAATTTAAAGTAGATTATCAAAGTATAATCTGGAAAGAAAACAGGAATTAGTGTAAAAATTAACTCGAATATTTTAAAAACATTAATAAATATATTTAATAAATTAGAAATCTTAGTTTAATTTTTTTATTCCAATTTCTAAACGAAAGAAAGATCATTAATTAAATTTAAATGTGCAATTTTTATTTTATAAAAGCTTTAAAAGATACTAGCAGTTTTTATAGAGTTCATAAATTTAATTACTTTTGTCAATATATTAACAAATCTCCAATTAATAATTGTACATGTTTAATTAATATTATTAATAAGAGCATTATTATTACTGTTTAAAAGATTTATATTATTTTGATAAATATTATTGCTAATATTTTTTTATGCATTTTCTCGTATACCATAAATATTCGAAGTATAATCTTTTTAAATATTAATATATAATTTCTATTATTCATTTTTTTATTAAGGATATATTTAATTATATTCTCCTTTTAAACATTGTATAATTTTTCTTAAAAAAAGATAACATTTATTTAATTTTTACTTTTAGTTTTTATTACTCTCTTTGTTTTCCAAATTTGCTTTCTACTTTATTATAACTTTAAAATTTTCGGAAATTTAATCTGTATTAATGTTTATTTATTAAGGTTTTGTTTATAAAAACGAAAATATACTCTTATTTGTTATAGCTTTTTGCCTTATACCTCCATCTCTATTATTTTCAACTACATGGACTGCATTTTTTTAGTTTAGTATTTCACTTGTTAATATATTACTTGCATAATTTTAAAAATTCCTCTAGTTTTTGATTCTTAATTTATCTTTTAAAGTTTAATTTATTATAGTTTTTTTTTTTTCAATTTATTCTTTCTCTTATTTTAATGTTGTAAATTAACTTTCTTTTTCAGTTTTATAATTATTTTATACTTGATTATCCATTTTTTATTAATAAAAATATAATTTTATATATTTTATAATATTTAAAAAAAAAAATTGAATAAAAAAGGAAATACTGTATTTTTTTATAATTTAATAACATAAAAAATATAGGAATTTAACTACTATTTACAATTTTTAAAAAATTGGTTTTTATTATTAAATAAATCAGGATAATAAACATTTCATTATTTTAAAAAAACAAATTATAATATTTACACATTTCTTATTTATAAAAATTAAAAACAATTTTTTATTTTATAAATATAACTTGTTAATAAATAATTCATAATTTTTATTTTTAATCTATTAAAAAATATTTATAATATATTAATAAGTAAATTAATTAGAAAAAAATTAAAATTTTCAAAACATGAAATAAATATATTTTTATTATAATTTTATTTTTAATAGTCTAAAAATAAAAAATAAAATTATATAAACAGAAATTCATTAAATTAGTCTCTAATATATTTATTATTTAATATTATTTTACTATTAATTTTTTTTTTAATAAAAAAAATATTAATATATTATTTTTTTAATTTTATATTAATAAATAAATTTTATTTATGAATATATTTATTATTTTTTATTTAGTTTTAATTTTTTTTATATATATTGACATTTTTTTATTATCATATTATATTTTAAGAATTAAAAAAAATATTTTTAAAAAAAATTAAAATTAAATGTGAATTGTGATTTTGCAAATCAATTTTTTTTTTAATTTATAAATAAAAATAAGATATATTATAAAATTAATAAAATAAAAATTATAAACAATGTCATAATAATAAGATTAAATAATAGATGAAGATAAATGGAAAAATGATTTATCTAAAGAAGAACGCGAATTAGCAGATGAAATTGAAACAAAAATGAAATAAAATTATGAAAGACTTTAAAAATTTGATAATCAATAAAAAATTATTGAAAATATAGTAGGCAAATCTAATTAAACCGAATAAATCAATTAATAATAAAATTTACATTAAAATTTCAATTAAATTCGTGAACTTTCTGTTGATTCAAGAGGAAACTAAGTAATTGATTAAGAAACAATAAAATAAAGATATTTTAATTCATACCCTTTTATAAGATTATTTAATTTACCTTTTTGTTATTATTAAATGAAATAAAAAGTTTATTTTATGGGAGTTGCAGGTTTTGGTCTATCATCTTTATTTGAAATTTTTAATAAAATAAGTAATAATAAAATTGTTTCAATAAAAAACAAAAAACAAAAATTAAAATAGAATAAAAAGAAAAATTGAAAACAATATAAATAAAATAAATCATAAAAAGAGGATCTATAATATTTTTAATTGGATCTTCTATTAGTATTTTAGAAACTATATATTTTTGTGATTATTGGTAATATATTATTTTTATTTTTTTTAAAAAAAAATAAAGTGACATTAATAGTTATCATTATAATACTTCTAAAACAAGAGAAACCATTATGTCATTAAAATGTATTTAATTTTATTTATTTATTTATTTATTTATTTAATTTTTATGAATTTATTTATTTAATAAAATAAAGGTAGAATATTAAATAATTAAAAAAAATGAAAGAGTTAAGTATAAAATAATAAAAGATGATTAAAATATTATTAATAGCTTTTATATTTAATATTTTAAAAAACTTTAAATTAAAATAGCTTTAATTTATCTTTAATTTATATGGTTTTAAGTTATTTTATATAATTTATTTATTAAAAATAAAATATTTTTAAACAATACAGATAAAATAAATAGTTTATTTTGTATAAAAATATATATGTAAAAAATAATATTTATTAAAATAAATTAGCTCTTATAATTAGTATAGATTAATTATTTATATATTTCGGATTTTTATTTTTGCAGTTTAAAAATTTGAATTACATAATTTTAATATTAAATATTAGAATTTTTTTAATATATAATACAATATAGCTATATTTTTAATATAATTTATTATTTATTAAACTT